CATTGAATTATTTAGGTAATTGATAATTCATTTTACTCATTACAAGTCAAACTTAAAACCTTTTTTTACATCTAGAAAGAGATTATATATCATGATATTGGTTGGGCAGTTGGCATCAACAACAACTTGCAAGCATCACTAATTTTCATTTGAAACAGTCCATAGAGTTTTCAATGCTTAGCTGGGAAAGTGGGAATGGATAAAATGGGGAAAGTGAGGACATCGCCTTACACGGTTTTCTTAATTTAAGACACTTGCTTTTATTCGTTTGGTCTATGGAGTATGGACACAATACCATTCAACTTTTGAAAATAAAGACACATTAGACGGAAGTACCACGTGCCCGTCTACTCCCGTTAAGATGCCCTCAGACAATGCTTGAAGGATCACTCCAATGATATTTTTGGGAGTTAGGCTGATTTAATTAACAGGTACTTATAAATTGTCTGTCTATAAGTATTGAATAAAATTTTAATTTCAAGATTTAGGGGCATAACTCACCAAATAATAATAAAATTTTAACAATTTACAACTATTATTGTTTAAAATTAGAAATATTTTATTTATTTAATTAAAACTTAATTTAAAATTTTAAAACTTATCTTATTAAAAATTAATATTTAAATTTGAAATTTTAATTAATTTATAAATTTTAATTAATTTATAAATTTTAATTAATTTATAAATTTTATTAATTCTATTTTAGAGCGTTTAAAATTTTAAAATTCAAAATAAAAAACTATAACCATATTAAACTAAATCCTAATTATTTATAAGAGTTTGTTAGTTTTATTTTTTATTTTTTATTTTTATTTTTGAGTTTGTCGGTTTTGTTATGATATTAACTTGTGGATGAAATTTATTGTAACGGGCCATATCTTGCAGACTTTATTATTTATTTAATAAAACATAAATGATGGAACATTTTACTTTCTATTTTTTTGGCGATAATTTTCTTAACTTTACTTTTCTATGATGTCATCAATATATTTCTTAAACAAAAAAAAAAATCAGGTAATGAACGACCTTTTTATCATAACAAAGATGAAATTTGCGCCTACCTCAATGTCAATGACATCATTCAGGAAACAAAAACATTTTAAAATAAATCCAACAATTTCAGAAAGTAAATAAATTATTAAAATTATTTGTCAACCAATCTTTTTTTTTTTATGAGATATAATTATTAAAATTATTTGTCAACCAATCTTTTTTTTTTATGAGATATAATTATTAAAATTATTCGTTTGTTTATCAACCAATCTAATTGCTTTAAATTATGATATATTAATTGATTATAAATTTATAATTTCTTAAAAATAAAAACTTAAAGTGATAAATTATATCAATATTGTTCTTAATAATAATTTACTTCAACAGAACAATTTAAAAAAATTTGCACGCCTTTAATTGTGTTAAAATATGTTTAATGTCAAAAGATAATCTGGT